GGGGTTGCTGTTGTGTTTGGGGTTGCTGTTGTGGTTGGGGTTGCTGTTGTGGTTGGGGTTGCTGTTGTGGTTGGGGTTGCTGTTGTGCCACATGAGCTGCATCTTGTTGAGCATTGCACATATTTTGCGGCTGTGGAGACACCATCGCAGTAGATTCAGTGCTGACTGGAGCCTTTGAAGAATTTGGATGAGGAAGGGGCTGAGCCGGGACTGGTGGAGGGAGCGCTGAAGTTGAAGGAATATTGTGCTGACTATGGGCAGCTGTCAACACAGCCGAGGAAGCGTTCGGTGTGTGCAAAAGATCAATGCTTTTGGTACCTGAATAGGCAACAGACGTGGTGTCTTGGGCCTCCGAGCCGGGAGGAATCATGATTGGTATCGTAAAAGTTGCCTTTGACGCAGGCGACACTCCCGCTTGCAGCGACAGATCAGGTGAGAAGGGGGGAGATGCCACCTCTGCTGAAGGCGACGCTAGTCGTTCTCCAGTCCCCGGGTCTACCTTGGCTGCGCCCCAACCCAGCGTGCTAACTGAAGAAGCCGCACTTCCCAGGATAAACGCGGGCGCACCCGCTGTCGTGGGTGGGGCGTAGCCTGTCATACAACGAGTTGGTGTGAGTGTATCGTTTGATGGAGGTGCAGTTGGCTGTGATTTTGGCAGAGGCTCCGCCTGCGGGGCTGGAGGGCCAAAGAGGTCATCCAAAAAATTCTCAGCCTTTTTGACAGATCCGCTGGTGAGCGCAGCAGCAGAAGCAGCGGATTGATAAGCTCCAGCCGTACCCAGAGTCGGCGGGAGGTTTTCTGGAGTCCGTTTATTATTCTTTACAAACTCTAACTCAGTAGGCACACAATGCATGAACCCCGCCTCGATCCCGGCAGGATAGGGCTCGTACTGGAGGCGGTTGAGAGACAAGATAACTTGTCGTAACTCTTCTGTCGTCGACTCGGTGTCGTAGAGCCTTGCAGCCAATTTATCCCATTGATCGCCATCCTTAGCGATGTCAAGAGGACCCGTCTTGGATTTCTCTTCTACAGGAAGAGTCTTGTCTTTCCTTAACTCTAATAGCGTCTTCTCAAGACTCTGGATTTGATCAAGCAAAGCAACAACATCATTGGTAACATCCCGGTGCCGCTGCATGGCCTCGAGTTGACGCATTTCCATTTTTTTCTGTTCTATTCGCTCTTCCACCTCAGCGATCATGCCTTTCTGCTGTGATGTAAGCTGCTTCCCATCTCCTCTTGATATCAGTGGAGCTATCCCAGCCTCGTGTGCCGACTTCGCTTCGATCTGTGCGACCTTCTCCTTCCATAAGTTTACTTCATTTATCAGCGCTGACGAGGCCGCAGAGCCTGCGGCAACCTCATCCTTATTTCCGTACTGCGCGTCGTACTCAAGCTGCGTAATTTCACGCTCTAGTGCCTCAATCCGCCCCTTCAGGTCCTCCTCACTCGGAAACAAGATTGACACGCGGGCAGCTATCTCGTTTGCTAAATCCAGATCCATTTCGATTGATTCCACAGTAGACGGCAATAAACCAGCTTCTTTTAAGGACTTTAGCGCATAGGCCGGAAGCCGCGTCTTGCGGACGTCGTTTGAATCCTTAAGATTTTGAAGAGGCAAATGCGAGTCCGACGCGATCTTGCATGCATGTTGCAAAGCTGGGGCTTCCTTTAAGATCGGCACCGGCGTACCTACGGGATGCATACGAAAAATTACATGCAGCTTCGCTGGGATTTTCGCCACGCGGAAAGAAATTGCCTTGAGCTCACATATGCTTTCCCCCGCTAACACGCTACACATGCCCGCGAGAGGAATATCAAATCCGGTCACCTTGGAAGAGCCACGGGCGTTGGCATAGCAATAGATGCTGATATTAACGACTCGTTGATCTTTGGGCGAATTGAAAGGAATAGTAAAGATGGGAGCTTTAACAATATCAATTTCCTGTGCAAACTCCACTTCCCTAGTATTACTGCACGCCGAAAGCTCTGTTGCTATATCTAAATCCTTTCGGTTGACATGCACAGAGTACATATAGCCCGGCTGGCAAAAGTTCGCCTTAAGTTTTAGGGGGCATATCGACACATTATAAAGAGGCATAGAGAAGCAAAAAGAAAGAAGCTGAGGGAAAAGTAGCTAAAAATTCTGATTTATTTGTCTCGATCTGAAAAGCAAATGGTAATAGTAATGAACCTCACAACGCACTAAGAATTTTAGTAAGAAAAAACTCTCACTTCGCTTCTCCCTTTGGAGACCTTGACGTTCGGAAGAAAATACCCACTAGAACGACTTTCTATGTCTATTACCGTTTTGGTAATCGACTCTATAATATGACTTCACCTATAAAATTGAATGTTAGATTTGTATATAGCTATAGATATATATATATATACACGTATATGTATTTATTTATTTCAAGAAACACATGAGAAGCTAGAACACACTATGTTGAAAGAGTATGGAAAATTGTAAAAAAATAGGGAAAAATAAAATACAAATCAAAAGTGAAAACAAAAATCTGAACACGCACAGAAAAACATTAAAAGAGAGAAAGGTTAATGATTTAAGCTTAATGTATACTGTATGAAAAAATTGTTACAATTACCCGCATATTCCTTCATGTCTAACCCTGTTCATGGTGCAAAAGGGAAAATAGCCTTCGTGTCATTGCTTGTGGCGTATATATATATATATATATATATATTTATTTATTTATTTATTTATACATGCACGCAAAGGTCTATACCAAAAGAAAGAATACCCAAAACATTCAGAGGTGTCGTAAGGGTATGATGATTCGAAATAACCGAGGGCGTGAAGCCACCCAACTCTCGCGCTCTCTCCACCTAACTGGAAACACACTCTGCGTCGTCCTCCTCCCGTGGCCGCTTAACGGATGCGATTTTATGCCATGGATCGGTGCCCGGACTCCCCCTCGTCACCTTCTCGCCTCCCCATCGGCCCTTTTCCATCCCTGTCTGCCGCGTCGGGGGGGTGTACCCCGGCAAGAGCAGCGACGTTGTGCCCCCGCCCGAGCCGGAGAGCGGCGGCGCCGTGGCGACCTCCCACCGAAGCCGCACGCCCCTCCTCCCGTCAGGATCGCGCGAGAGCACGCGGACGCCTCCCCCTCCCTCTCCCCCTTCCACGAGGAATCGATGGCCCTCGAGGACGCCCACGACACGGCCGAGTGCGGGATCTGGCAGAACCGCTCCGGGCGCCACCACCCAAACGTAGCAGCCCCCCTCGTCGTGGAGGAAGGCCGCC